TTTGTGCATGTAGGATTTGAGCGAAGACTAATGGACTCTATACCCTGAAGTGTAAACGTTTGAATTTGTATGAGTGAAGAACAGAAATGTAATAGGATTGCAAGTCTTTTAAGAAACTTAAATAATAACTTTTAAAAGATGTTTCCAAATGAATCCCTCCCCCAATTGTCTTTTGATCCTCATATCCTTTTGCTTTCTTTTCTTTCATAGCAAAGCTTCTAGATTCTAGCAGGAGTCCTCTCTGATGGAGTTTGTCCTTCTTCACCTCTGGTTTACTCCTCAGCTCACTGCCATCTGGCTTTTTATTTCAACATTGCTTGAAACTGCTTTGTCTATAGGAGAACAATGATCATTAATTTCTTAATTCTACAAACCCTTTTCAATCCTTGCCTTAGTTGACCCAGGCAGCACTTAATCCTTGTAATCCAAGCCTTTCCTGACTTCAAAAGGCTGTAGATGCCATTGGTCAAGTTCACAGGAATAACCTACATTTCATTTTTATATACTCACTGTTCCTTTCCCTCTCATTCCGATACCAGCAAAGCTATTCCTTTGAGGGAAGAGCTTGCCCTGACTCAGTTACTTGGAGAAAGGAGTTTACCCAGTCAGACAATGGTAGTGTTTTGTATAAGAAACAGCCAATCTGAGTGAATTGGTGATTTTCCTAGGATTGTTAAATAAGAAAATAGAACGAGAAGTCCCTCATTTTTCTTCCAGGGCATTAAGCTGGAAAAAAAGCCAAGCTTTGCCAGAAGCCATCTGTGTCCACCTCCTTCCAAATAGAACACACACACACACACACACACACACACACACACACACACACACACTGTGGAAGAAGACATTTGAAGAAAAATAGAATGAAGCTAGCATAGAGAAAGCTGAAACAAGAATTGAAGAAAAAGGAATGTGCTCTGAAGGAATTGAGTCCCTGAATCCTTTCCTGTCTATCCCAGGTTTGTGAGCCACAAAACCCATGTTTACTAAAGCTAGCTGCCCTTGGATTTCCATCATTTCCATTTTTAAAAAGAGTTGACCTACCTGTCTATGACTCACTGCTACTGGTGTGCGAAAATGATAGCCCCAAATGTCCCAGAGCACAAGAGCTGCTAAAATTGAAGTCCCACAGCCACACTCTTATTTGTGAAGAAATAGGAGAATCTTCTTGGCTCATTCTCACTTTGTTATCTAGACATGAAAAGCAACACAGCTGGGCTTCCATGTTTCAGAGTTTCTGATGAAAAAACTTTGGCTTCTGCAGCTGCCTCGCTCTTGATAGGGTGCATATGTGAAGAAAGGCCTCTCTTCTTTAGCCAAAATCGCTTGGCTAAACCTTCTCATGTACTCCCTACCAGCTCCTCAGGCAATCCTGCACATCCGATTCCTGGCCTGCTGCACACAGTTTGTTCTTTCCTCTTTCTTGGTTTATGTGTCACACTTACTTGGTTTTATCTCTTTGCTCTTCTGGTTCTCCTTCCCAGTCTTCACTGTAGGCTGTTCTTCAACTGCTTTCCCTATAAAGATTGTTGTCCCAGGACTTTGTGTCTTTAATCCATTTATTTTCTTTAAAAAATATTTTTTTTTATTGATTTCAGAGAGGAAGGGAGAGGGAGAGAGATAGAAACATCAATGATGAGAGAGATTCATTGATCGTCTGCCCCACACTGGGGATCGTGCCCGCAACTCAGGCATGTGCCCTCCATGGAATAGAACCTTAACCTCCTGGTTCATAGGTCAATGCTCAACCACTGAGCCACACCAGCAGGGCTTTAATTCATTTTTATTCCTACTCAGCCTCCTATCCAGACACCCCATTCTGCCTTATGCCATCAGATACTACTTATAAACAAGTAACTTTCCGATTTTCATCTATAACCCAAATCTCTATTCATAGCTCTAGACCCTTACCTGTACCTACTAACTATATACATATTACCTCCTGGATATTCATGATACCTTGATTCTAATCTACACCATTACATGAGACCTAATCACCTTTATCTTCTTTCTCTTTAATACTTCTCTTCCACCATAATCATTATCATTCATCTGGTTGCACCCTTCCCAAAAAATCAGGGGCCACATTCTGAATTTTCTTTTCTCTCCTGATTCATAATTTATCAGTTTTAAAAATGTGTCCTTCTATCTCTTAAATATTCTTTAGCATATTAAGAAAGGCTGATGGCATGGGAGAAAGGGAACACAGACCCCTTTCCCTGGTATTTTCAAATCCCATTTTCTGAATTCGTTTTTTCTTTTTAGCAAGCAAGGATTTGTATTTGGATCTTTAATTTCTCTCAGGTTTTTGCTGTAATATAAAATCTTCTACTTGTTACATGAGAACACTATAATTTTAAGAAGTATCTTCCAGATTCCATAATTTTATTTTATTTTTACCCTTTTTTTTTTTCTTAACATCCTGGGAAAATTTTCCCAATGCTTTTCCTAACTGCTTACACAATCACTTGTGTAATATATGGCTTTCAATGCCTTAAAAATAAGTACTCTTCTGACCAAACTGACCTCCCACCATGCATGGAGGACATGGGTGTGAACCAGAGGTCCTTCCCAAGCATGTAAGGGTGAGTGATGCTTACAGTTCTCTTCCTAGCTTCTCACTTTCCCCCTCCCCCCATTTTTCAGAGGACAGAAAGGAAGGGCAAAGAAGACCCAGTTTATTATTTAACTTGGTTTTATTATTTCAAAAAAATCTTTTCTATATTCAGACACACAGAGAAACAAAATAGTAATAATATAATACATTCCAGAGTGTCAAGGAAAAGGTTAGAGGAAATAAAAATATTCTTTTAGTTTATAATACTTAATTTCTCCATTTTACGTTATGAGGCATGGGCTTGTGGTCTATGAACATGAAGCAAAGAACCAGGAAACTTTCTTAACTAATACTGGCTCTAAAACTAGCGCAGTGGGTGGCCATGGACAAATTGCCTGATATCCCTATTTCACTTACCTCATGACTTCTAGTCAACATGGAGATCATTAATTTGAGTGACAATTCAGCTAAATAAATAATGCCCTGATGTTTTGTCAGGAATCTAAGAAATGCTGATTTCTTTAGAATCATAATATATTTAATTTGTTATTGATAGGTCACCTCAAATACCACAAAATGAATGGGAACATGCATACTATGCAAGTACTCATTAAAAACATCTCAAAATGCTGGAGGAAACTCCCTCGTGTTAAATGGCCTCTTTTGTAGTAGCAAATTTTTTTATTTCAGAGAATAGACATTGACTTACATTTTATTGGATGCCATAGTTTTCTTGAGCTATTTGAACAAGCTTGATTTTCTCAGTCCAACATTTCTGAGGGTAAAATATGATCTGCTCAATAAAATAAGTATATCTCCTGAAGCCAGATGAGTGCCTTCCAGAAAGTACATTAGCATTCAATGTGCTATATTTTACCAGAGGTAAAACATTTATACTCTCAAGTCTCTTACCTCAGGGAACAAGAGAATGCCAAAAATCTCAACCACCATACATAACTTGGTAATAAGATCATTGGGTCAAATGGAGTCAGCCTCAGTTTGCACCTCTGCTGCATGCATGAATTATGGGTAGGTCTAATAGACTTCTCCTGTGGTAATGACTAATTTACTAAATTCATCACTTCAGTATTGCATTCGTGTTTTTCTCTACCTCTTCCTATATTTTTTTCATCTTTGGTGGGATATATTTTATTGAAATTTCTAGTTTCCAATGATCTGACCTCAAACATGGAATTCTGGATTTTTTAATATTTTGGATTGTGTAGTTGATAAAAGTAAGCATTGAATTTTATTGGATGAATATGTAGAAATGTAATTGCTGGGTCTTATGTTAGACATATGTTTGCTATAAAACTGCCAGTTTTCCAAGCGGATAAACCAATTTTAAATTTCCACCAGCATTATTTGAGAGCTCCTATTACTCTATGTCCTCACTACAATTGGTATAGTCCAGTGATGGCGAAGCTTTTGAGCTCGGCGTGTCAGCATTTTGAAAAACCCTAACTTAACTCTGGTGCCGTGTCACATATAGAAATTTTTGATATTTGCAACCATAGTAAAACAAAGACTTATATTTTTTATATTTATTTTATATATTTAAATGCCATTTAACAAAGAAAAATCAACCAAAAAAATGAGTTCGCGTGTCACCTCTGACACGCATGTCATAGGTTCGCCATCACTGGATAGTCAATTACTTTAATTTTGGCACTGTGATAAGTAAGTGGTAATATTAAATTTGGTATTTGTCTGCATCTCCTAGATGACTAGTGATATTGAACACATTTTCATTACCTTATTATTTACTTTGTTAAGTTCCTACTGAATCATTTTGCCCACTATTCGATTGTGCTGTCTTTTACTTACTGATTTATAAACATTCTATAAATACCAATACAAATATTTTGTCAGACAAATATATATTGCAAATATTTTTTTCAAGTTTGTGATCAATGGTTTTACTATGACATTGATGACTTAAAATAAAAATGTTTTATTTATATAAGTTTAATTTATCAATATTTTTTCTTTTAAAATATCCTCTTTAAGAAATGGTCATTAAGTAGTCTTTTATGTTTTCTCCTAGAAGCCTTATTGTTTAATCTCTTACATTTAGATTTTGATGGTTCTTGAATAGATTTTCTCTATGGTATTTCATAAGGATTAAGTTTATTTTCTTTTCATATGGACCCAGAACATTTGTTGAGAAGATCATCCTTTTTACATTAAATTGAAATAGTGTTTAATCAAAATCAGGTTAGTATTTTTGATTAGGTCTGTATCTGGACTCTCTAATTTATTTCAGTCGTGTACTTATCTATTATTGTGCTAATTTCTCACTCTCTTAAATTATTTTTAGCTTCACTAGAATCACAAAGTATGTAGCCTGTTCATACTGGTGTCTTTCACTTAGGATCACACATTTAATATTCATTCATGCTTTATGTTTATAGATAGTTTATTCCTTCTTATCACTGAACAATACTACAGTTTGTTTATCCATTCATCTATGGAAGGACATCTTGCGCAGGGGCCATGCTAATCTTCTCTGTATCGTTCCAATTTTTAGTATATGTGCTGCCGAAGCGAGCACTGGAAGGACATCTTGATTATTTCTCATTTTTAACAATTATGAGTAAAACTGCGGTAAGCATACTTGTGCAGGTTTATGTATGGACAAAGTTTTTGAATTTTTTGCGTAAATACTTAGGAGCGCATTGCTGGATTATGGTGAGACTATGATTAGCTTTATAAGAAACGGCCAAATTGTCTATCAAAGTGGCTCTATCATGTTGCATTCCAAACAATGACAAATGACAGTTCCCATTGCTAGGCATCTTGGCCAACATTTTGTATTGTCAGTGTTTTGAATTTTAGTCATTCTGGTAGGTATGCAGTGGTATCTCATTGTTGTTTGAATTTGTAATTCCCTAGGTATAAGTAATGTGCAATTTTTATATGCTTATATGCTCCCTGTATACTTTCTTGGTAAGATGTTCAAATCGCTTTGCCTATTTTTAATTTGGCTGCTTGTCTTCATACTGTTGAGCTCTTTGTTCTGGATATAAGTCAGTTATATGTGATTAGGAAATATTTTCTTCGAATCTCTGACTCATCCTTTTATTCTCTTAACACTGTCTTTCACAGAGAAGTTTTAAAATTTAAGATAGTACAACTTTTTTTTTATGGATCAAAACCTAACATTGCATTTAAAAACTCATAATCAAATCCAAGGTCACACATATTGTTCCTGTGTTTTCTTTCAGAAATTTTATAGTCTTACATTGTATTTGCCTTCATTTTTGAAGGTTACTTTCAATGGGCATGTTTTAATTCCTTTTAGGGCTTTAAATTTTTCACCCCACTTTCCATTGATTTTGTTGAAAACTTAGTGGTGAGTCTTACAGTTATTCTTTTGTAGGTGAACTCTCTAACTAATTTAAAGTTTACATTCTGGCCGAAACCGGTTTGGCTCAGTGGATAGAGCGTCGGCCTGCGGACTGAGAGGTCCCAGGTTCGATTCCGGTCAAGGGCATGTACCTGGGTTGCGGGCACATCCCCAGTAGGAGATGTGCAGGAGGCAGCTGATCGATGTTTCTCTCTCATCGATGTTTCTAACTCTCTATCTCTCTCCCTTCCTCTCTGTAAAAGATCAATAAAATATATTTAAAAAAAAAAATAAAGTTTACATTCTGTTTTTGTATTTTGATACTTTAGCTATAATGTACTTATTTCTTACATTTGCTATATTTGTACTGCTATAGGTTCCTTTCTTAGGTTGATGTATTTTATAAGTTTTAGGAAATGCTCAGCCATTTCACTTTTAAATATTGCTTCTGCCCACTCTCTCAAGCCCTTCTAACTCCAACATGTCTCACATGTTTCTTTTTTTAAAATATATTTTATTGATGTTTCACAGAGAGGAAGGGAGAGGGATAGAGAGTTAGAAACATCGATGAGAGAGAAACATGGATCGGCTGCCTCCTGCACATCCCCTACTGGGGATGTGCCCGCACCCACATACATGCCCTTGGCCGGAATCGAACCTGGGACCTCTCAGTCCGCAGGCCGACGCTCTAGCCACTGAGCCACACCGGTCAGGGCTCAGATGTTTCTTATAATATTTTATGAGATTTGATTCACGTTTCTCTTTCTACTTCACTTTGGACATTTTCTATTACCCTGTCTCCAATTCATTAACTTGTTGTGTGTGTTTTTTCCTTCTCTGTTCAGTCTGTTTTTATAAACTTTCAATGAGTTTTTAATTTCAGATATTTTTCAGTTCTATAATATTTGTTTCATTTTTAATAGATAACTTTCTGCTATAATTTTCCATTTTTATATATTTTGTGCATCCTTTCCTATATTATTCTATTATATTAGTGTCTTTGGTTGGTTTCCCTGTAAGCTGAGCCTGAGATAGAGATTCTTAAGCACATCATTTATTTAGTGAGTGCTTCAAAGTGTAAGTTGTGAGGGAGTAGGAAAAATACAGTAAGACTGGGAAAGAAAGAAAACTGGGCAAAGATTTGGGTTCTGCTGAAATCTACTTTGGATCATCTAATGACAAGACAGAATTGTCTCATTTTATAGCAATGGACTCAGCCTTTTGTTTCCATGTTTCTGCCAGTCACTGGTTTTTGGCCATCACTCAGCAAAGAATATAATCTCTTATCATTCCTTGCCATATATGGGGAAAAGTAAGCTTACTGTTCTTTGTATGGAAAATAATACAATAATTAATAATAATACAAGAATAAACTGCTTCATGTACTTACAACTGTAAACCCACTTTTGCCACACACTATATGCATAATACATTTTATATATATATATTCCTCACCCAAGGATATTTTTCCACTGATTTTAGAGAGAGTGGAAGAGAGAGGGAAAGACGGCAAGAAATATAGATGTGTGAGAAACACATCAATTGGTTATCTCCTGCACATGCCCCAACCAGGGCCCAGGCCGGGAATGAGCCTGCAACCAAGGTACGTGCCTTTGACCAGAATAGAACCAGGACTTCTGTGAGGATCAAATGAGATGAGGCACATGAAAATGCTTCATAGACATTTGGTTAAACTGTAAAATGTTTGCACCTGGCTATAAAGCAAGTCGTGTTCCTGGGCTGAAGAAACTCCAAGGAGGCTAGTCACTAGGAAGAGGAAGCTGGGCGTTGATACGTGATGTCATTACCCAGCACCCACAGCGACTGTTTCTGGGCTGGGCTGTGGGCTGCATTTTGTGCCATGGGGTTTTGGCAGTGTTGGCTTCAATTTGGTGGGGTGTTGCTTTGGGGTGGTGGCGGGGCCTGTGTCCCACTTGGGGGAAGCCGAGTGTTGGTTTGTCAGCGCCAGGTCTGTGGTGCCGTTTATTTTTAAATGGCCAGTGTGCATCATGGCAGCTCCTGCATTGAGTGTCTGTCCCCTAGTGGTCAGTGCGTGTCATAGCTACCAGTTTGATGGACACTTAGCCTTTTATATATACAGATTTTCTGCTTAACTAGTATGTTGTGAGGTTTGAAACTGTATCAAAGAGTGCATTAAACTAGGGTTCTGTATACATAGATGAGAACCCAGCAAAAGAGAAAATATTTCTTTTGAGGAATTAATTAGATGTTATGAAGTCCATGCCAGAAAGTGTTTCTATGATTCTTACATAGAAGAATGATAATCAAGAAGATTTATATTGTGATCCCTAGGATAAAATTGTCTCCTTTAATTAAAATATCCAACACTACATTTAACTAAAAGTGCTATTACAATAAATCCTATATGAAAATTGCATATTTTGTTAGACTTGATTACTCACTTCCTTTCCTTTTTTAAAATATTTTTACTGATTTCATAGAGGAAGGGAGAGGGAGAGAGAGATAGATACATCAGTGAGAGAGACTCATTGATTGGCTGCCTCCTGAATGCCCCACACTGGGAATTGAGCCCGCAACCCCGGCACATGCCCTTGACCAGAATCAAACCCCAGACCCTTCAGTCCGCAGGCCGATGCTCTATCCACTGAGCCAAACCAGCCAGGGCTACTGACTTCCTTTCTTAAGTAAATCTTATATGTGAGTAAATAGTGCCTGTCATGCAAGAGGTGCCAAAACAATAATGGTTTAATGATGATACAAAATCATGAGTTATTTATAAATTTTCATTTTTGCCATTTTATTCTAAACTCTATCATTTTATAGATGTTAGTTTAAAGTATGTAGCACTGTAGTTTTAAAAATGCACTTTAAATTGGGATTAGTTATCACCAATAGCTTTTGTCCACTGCTCAATTTGAATTCTGTCTACTTTTTTATTATGACCTTGAAATATATAAAACTTTCCATACATTTCTTTTGTTTACACACACTTAATTGGTTACATTTTACTTTGTTATAATATCTAGTTTTCTAAACCATTTTTCTCTCTTTGATTAAAGTAGTATTCAAAAGCTCTCATACTTATGGTACTAACTAATCCATAGTTAGTTAATTAGTAGTTTCTACTGAGAAATTTGATGACTCAGAATACTTAGAATTTCACTATCTTAGTATTTTCAGACAAAACCTGAAAGAAACCTTAAGGAATTGAAGTTCATCTCTTGAAGATATTTTAAGAGATGCAGATTTTTTTCTTACTAACAATTTTGACTGTGGAAGGATAATCAGAGCATAAAACTATCAATTGTCAGATTATGAAATTTTTGCTGCTAATTATTAACCAATTGAAAAAAAAGGAGGGGGGAGTCAATGAGTAATTAAAAAATTGTCTTTGTCATAAAATGAAAAACCATTAATGTTGAAATTTACCAACAAAACCTCTGCTCTAACCCTAGCTTGGATGCCCATTACAATATACAGAGTACTTGGCAATCTTCCCAGTGATATGGAAATCACTACCACTTGAAATCACTGATTCAGTTTTTATATGGCTAGAATTGACCTGAATTCTGCATATTGAGTCAAATTTTGCCTCATGATAATGGTTCATTATTTGGTTATATTTAGCTAATGTGTCTCCTCCTGAGACACACATACCTGATTTAATTGCTGTTCAATTGCCTTTTAAATATTTAAAGACTGCTTTCACATGCCATCTGAGTCTCCTTCACTTGAACAGCAATAGTTGTTCTATCCTTTCCTCAGAGAAAAAAAAGTTGCCTTTCTTTTCCCCTTCTATACATCAATTATTGACTCCTCTATTTTTAAAAAATGGGGGAAAAAACTAAAAGTGGAACAATAATATTGCAAATGGCTATAACTAGAGTAGAACATAGTGACACACAGAGTATACACAGTCTAGGATTGCATTAGTTTTTTTTAAAAGAATCACTAGGGTTTTGGTCATTTAGGGCTTCCAAGGAGGTAGAATCTCTGTCTTTTTCATCTCAAATGCTAATGGCATGTATAGCTCATTATGCGTAGCTTTTGTTTTACTCATTTTTAATATAAGTATAAGTATTTATGATTGTTTAATTTCACAAAGATTTAACTCAGTTTTTCTAACCTTTGAAATATTTTTGGATTAATTAATTCATCATTTTTGTTATATCCCACCCCTAAAAAAAAAGTCTCCAAACACCCTATATTTAATTCATATAATA